AAGATGGTAATCTAATTGCTCAAGAAGCATCCAGAAAAGATATCTGATGGATTCATTAATAATGTGAAATAAATGGCCTGTCTTCGGTTAGATACAAACTACTTACCACTTACTTGGTAAGTGGTAATATGACACACTTAGTCACAGCCTATGGCAGGGCTACGAGAGAGAAAAGTGGATTTCTTTAATTTTCTTAAATCAAAAGATAAAATTTGTGGTCTAGCATCAAAGCTCGAGGTCGGAAAAATCCAGATTAAGATGGCAATGTGTCACTATTGTTTATTACTAGGTAAAAATATGTATCGACAATTTTATGACGGTCCATGGAATTAGCTAAGGTAGTAAATTCACTATTCTCCTACATATTTCAACACTCATTTGCCATGTTTCACATTCTAACTACTTTACTGAACTTGTTATTTTTGCAATGCAATTCCTTTAGAACTAAACTTACCATATAGAACGTTTTCACATACTCACTCTTTCACTTCTCAAATCAAGGGATAGCTATCACATGAAGCTCATCTATATGCAACGATGTTATCTTTCAAATCGTTTCTATTGCTATTTTTTTAGTTCATAGCTTGTTTTCTTGGCAAATAGGAATATTTCAATATTTATTTTAATCAACATAAGCTCGTGAGACATAAAAGCTTTCACTATTTTGTCCATGCTGAATTTGCGTTCATCTACTGTCATTTGAATCTGAATAATTCATGTGTATATGTATATGATACGCATAAGTGTCATGAACTTTGTTTCAATAGTATTCGTCGTGTCGATTCAATCAGAACCTGAAATCGTAGCTACCGCTGGATTGATTCGTTGTCGACGAGCCATGATCAAATAACGTCCTATTTTTACAAGAATAGGAATGATAATTCTGAGTGCAACATTCAAGCCACACAAGAGTCCAATAATTGTAGTAATCATGTACACTAGATTGGCTCACTTGTTAATTACATAGGTACACGAGACTGTTGCACATAGTGTGTAATAATGTTCAAAATTGAGGGTGTGGGTGTGGGTGTGGGTGAGTGTGTGAGTGTGGGTGTGGTTGTGGACGTGGGTGAGTGTGTGGTTGTGGACGTGGGTGAGTGTGTGGTTGTGGATGTGGGTGAGTGTGTGGTTGTGGGTGTGCGTGAGTGGGGGTGTGTGTATGTAAGTGTGGGTGCGGGTGCGGGTGCGGGTGGGGTGTGGGTTTCTTCTCTTCTCTCACACCCACGCACATCCTTAATCAGAACTTATGGCAGGCCTACGAGAGAAGAAAACGAATTTTTTAAATTATCTTGAATCAATATTTACACTTTGTAGTCTAACATGAAAGTTCGAGGTCGCAAAAATCCAAAATTATGATGGTGATTTATTCTTCTCTTTATTATTGAGTAGAAACGAATATGGACAATCGTGTGACAGTTCATGACATATTGGTTTGTGTAAGAAATTCATTATTATCCAACATATTTTGTCATTCATTTGCAATAATGTCTCACTTGTAAAGACTTTACTAAGCTTTCTATGTTCACAATGAAATTTGTTTAGAACTAAACCTATTGTATAGAATGCTTTTACATATTCTTCTTTTCACTTCTTAAACCAACGAACAGCTATTGCATGAAGCTCATTTATATGCTATGATTTTATATTTCAAAGCGTTTCTACTTTTATTTTTAAGCTCATATTCTTTTTTCTTCACAAATACGATTTTTTCAATACTTATGTTGATTAATATCAATCAACGAAGCGTAGAATCTGTTATTCTGTTGTTCATGTTAAGCTTGCGTTCATTTACTGTCCTTATGATCTGAATAATTCAATATGTATATATATATATCATATAGGTGTGTGTAGGTTACATAAATTTTGTTTTAATAGGATTCATTCCATTGATTCAATCGGATTCTTACATGATCTCTGTCGTCGGATTGATTCGTTGTCGACGAACCATGATCAGATAACGTCCTATTTTTACAAGAATAGGAACGATAATTTTGAATGCAACATTCAAACCGCCAAAGAGGCCAATAATTGTCGTGACCATGTAAACTGGATTAGCTCGCTCGTTAATTATATAGGTACACGAGACTGTTGCACACAATGCGTAGTAATGTTCAAAATTGACTTCAGATTCCCATTGATCAACCATAAGCTTATCGACAAGAGATTGAACGGTAACATTCGGAGACGTTAAATTAGAATCGAGAGGCGAAAATGTGCTGTTCGAAAATCGATATATATTTTTCAGTCTGTCAATACATGTCGCTTCGTATAGACACTCTAGAGTAGATTGAAGTAAGGATCCGAGTACATAGCAACCGACACGAAAACCAGGTACAATCCATTCGTTAATAGCTGCTGGTGATGTACACATAGCATCGGTAATGCATGAACAATTGTTATTACCATAAGAATAGGATTCCATCAATGAATAGTACTGATCTGTTGCAAAGGGTAGCACATGCCAGTTCGAGTATACAGATGAGACTAGTCCATTGCCATGAGCCGTTTGTAGAATAAAGTCAATCATACGTACAAATGTACGTGATGTCGATGAGCGAAATTGAGCAACATCCATTTTTATCTGCGTTTCAATAGTTTGTCGAGATTGTGCTCGAATGTTGATCAAAGCAGTTGACATGAAAATCGATAAACTATCGTTGATTGTATTTTTGGCTAGAGTACACAGACTGGCAAGTAGACGAAAGTGTTGCACAATAAAACGTCGATAATCATCATAAGAGTATCGAATCATGCTCTCGTTTGAATAAATACCATTGATCCACAGGGAATTCTCAACAATAAAATCACTGGAACAAAGTTGATGGTATGTAGGAAATATTGATACAAATGCATCATACGGTATAGTTATATTTTGAGAAGGACAATCCAATGTAGGCAGATATTCCGGATTAGATGACAATCGTTCAAAAGTTACTTGAGATGGATGTTTGACTGTTATAGTTCGAATTGCACGTGTACTGGCAGTGTAACTTATTAGAATAGTAAGCGATAGAGCGATTAATAGGAGAAAGACACGAGTAGAGATGATTTCATTACGACGACGATAATCATCATTCCACGAAAGTTCAGTTTCAAATAGATTGAACTCGATTGCTTTCACCTTTATCAAATTCCATAGTGCACGTGTCTTGTCTGAGATTGGTGTAGGATCTTCAAAATAAAAATAACAACTGAAGTCTGCCATATTTGTGCATTCAAAAACATGAATTTCTTATACCAGAGAAGTCTTTTAGTATTAATTACGTCTTGATTCTACAAACTTTCATTCGTCATACATGAATATTCTATATACTCGAGTAATAGAAATTTGCAATGCATTTTTATGCACATTGAATCTCGCATATATCAATTGTTACTGCAAATAATTGTAAAATGTTAATACCCTCTATAAGTAAGCAAAAATTTAAGTGAACGACCATATTTTTTTTGTTCACAGTTCTTGACACCTATGTTCGTATAATATATTATGGGTTCTGTCTAAAATATTTTTTATACGAGCTCCTTTTTTGAATGAGAATAGAACCTCATCGTTTATTATTGGGAGATAGCCTGCTAGAACCTGTTCAGTTCTATTAATATTCGTTTCTAAAATTTGAAAACACTTTTGTTAGTATTATATTTGAATTCGATTAACAGCTATGTATAACAGTAGAGTTTTGCAATCCTTTGGTTCGTAAATAGAACCAAACTTCAAATGTAATATGAAATCAATATGATTGATAAAAGAAACTTCCGATTAGAATAATTTAAATTCTATTCTTATTGATATTCGATGCATAATATTTGTTCAAAATCAATATTAATAACCTTTTGAGAATCTCTAATCGTTTTAAGCTGGCCTAAATTCATGATAAATAGGGAAAATGAAACACTTTCCAAAGTAATTTTGCTCGAAGAAAATAATCTCCAAACACTTGTTATTGAATACCGGGATATTAACTTCTTTACTGACCATCACTAATCGTGTATGTCAACACAAAAGCTTAAATCATTAAGAAAATGTTCATCGAACAATCCACGAAAGAGAAAGTTCTCAAATCTATTCCAGTGTAAAATCGACGAAGAAGACGTCAAAACTCATAACTCAATCCATGCTTCGAAAAAATGACTGTAAATCATAACGAACTGGATATTTAGAGTTTGTTATGAATAAATGAAAATAGACAATATAAAGATGAAAGAAAACCGAAATAGTAAAGCAATAGGCAATAATGGTGAAAAATTATAGCAATATATATATACCGCGGACAACTATTTATTCTATTACATTCATTTGACATTTTCCTATTGATGAGCTCCTTTTCGCTAATTTAATCGTCCACTTTTTGTACCTTTCGAAGTTTTCACCCGTCGGCATTTTCAGTCGATTTGTTCGTGAAACATGATTATTGATGGGTATTAAAATATATGAAGAAATATCTTCCGTTTTTTAGGCTTATTTTAAAAAAATCTACTAGCATATTGATGTTCTTGTAACCTATTTATTGAGGCTTTGATGTTTGATGCGGCTTAAAAATTTAAAAGAAAGCCGGATTTTGGTTTCTCACACAAATGATGTGAATTTCCACTTCTTTAAAATTTATAATGACTCTACTCAAACTCTACTCTTGACTATATGTTTCTTGAAGTTTTTTTATTTTATTTCTGGCATCTCTCAATGGACAGATCATTTCAGAGAACCAGAAATTCTGTATTAACTTTCTACATTAATGAAATATTTATCAAGTGCAGGTAATTTGATTGTAGATATACTCCGTATCCTTCTATAGGTTTACTTTGTTATCTCATCTACATCCACTTGTTGCGATTGAAGTTGTTATCTATCTTACACAATAAAACCTCGTACAAGATCATGCGGTTACCCAAGGCATCATTTATAGAAATTTGATTTACGAATGAAAATTGTTCCAACTAAGTTAATTTTAGATTGTTCATTATGTTTCTTTTATCTCTTGAAAAAAATATTCACATAACGACAACTAACCTGGCACATCAGTTGGTGTTGCTTGCGGGCGCATCCGGTTTCGTATCCAACGAACAATTATTGGAACACAAATTTTGAGAGCAACTAAAAGACCACCAAATAGTCCAATGACGGTAGTAACTATATAAAGTGCATTATTGCGAAATGTCAATAAATAGGAACATTGTTTGGGTGCACATTGCTGATAATATTCTTCATAACGCACATTTTCATACCATCTTTCGATCATAAGTTCGTCAATGATTTCTCCAACAGTTGTTTTAGGAGAAAATCGTGTTGAATTTGTTGAAAGTACGGATCCGTTGATTATAAAATAGTAGTTTGCAATAACATTGATTTTTTCTTGTATAGGATCAAAACATGCTCGCTCGAAAAAACATTCAAGTGAAGATAGAAGTAAGGATTGCATATTGAAACAACTCTTGTACATATTCGGAATATCGAATAGAATACCTAGTGGGTAAACAGTAAGATATGATGTATAATTGTACAAACTTATCGTATTCTTGCATTCATCACTAAGTGCACATGAACAATTTTCAATTCTAGCAGATGTTGGTACAAAATAGATGTCTCCGGTGTCATACACCGAAGGAATATTGTACCAATAGACATCACCGTATCCGGCTGTATATGTAGTTGTAGTCAGAGAACGAATGATTGCAAGATTACGTTTGAATTCGGCTACTGTGTTTGACTCAAATTGTGTCAATATCTGTTGTGTACGCGCTAACAGTTCTTCATAGGATAATGCTTGATCACTAACGAATAATGTTTGATTAAAAATGAACAATTGATTGGAGATAGTCACGTTTGCAAGTGTACATAAAGTTTTCAGAGCATTAAAATATGTATGTCCCATGACTAGAAAGTCAGTGTTAGAGAGGAAAAAATTGTATTGACCTGCAAATAATAGAGCACGTCTCCATTCATCAGATACGAACCAGCTTGAACAAACTGGATGAAACAAGGGCCATACTTCTATAAATGAACCATACGGAATGGCCATTTGTCTACATGGACATTTAAATGATTGAAGATTTTTTGCATTTAAATCTGTGAAACTACTTTGAGATGGTTCATAAACGGTTATTATTTGAGTATGAAAATTTACTCCAGTAAAAAAACCGATAATAATCACGGAAAAACAGAGAAGAATTAAATAGACGCGTGTCGAAATTCTACCAGTGACCAATTCAAATCGATCAGTGCGTGCTGAAGCATTATTGAACAAGTTCAATTCGGTTATTTTAACTTTTACCCATTGCAATGTCATTTGAACGTTTTCGATTAAGGAATGAGCTAAAAGACAGACTCTCATTGTAGTAATATCGTTGATAGTAAATATTAATGGAACTGTAAACAAAAGACCTAACACAAAGAGCATGGAAATTGTAATCAATATTACGCTGTGCAGGCATATCGAACAGTAACATAATACTATATCGGATAGGAGAAGATAATTGCTCCACTAAGTTCAGTTGATATTACAGCAGTGGCCGGATTTCATGAATTCAGAACTCTTGGGGAACTCGTGGAACTCTAAGGACCCTTGGAACTCTTGGGGAACTCTTGAACCCTGGGAACTCTTAGAACTCCTGGGACTCTTGGAACTCTTACAACTCTGGGAACTCTAGGAACTCTTGGAATTCTGTGAACTCTAGGAACTCTTAGAACTCTTGGAACCCTAGAAACTCTTGGAACTCTTAGAACTCTAGGAACTATTGGAATCCTAGGAACTCTTGGAACCCTTGGAACTCTTGGAACCTGTGGGTGTGGAGTGTGGGTGTGGATGTGGCGGGTGTGGGTGTGGATGTAGCTGTGGGGTGTGGGTTTAGGTGTGTGTGTCGGTGCGGGGTGTGGATAACTGCAGTTGTTCGTGAGGGTGTACATTTGGGTATGGCTCTGGGTGTGTGGGTGTGTGCGTGCGGGTATGAGTGTTGTGTTGCTGTTAATTGTCTCCGCCACAGTCACATCCACACTCACACTTCCATCCGCACCCACACCCAGACCTTTAAAAAGGCCTAACATTTTTGATACATACCTAAGTCAACTAGCTGTATCGATTGGCCAGGAGATTTTGGTGTTCGTGGGTGTTCGTACTTTCGCAATAATAGTGGTCATTGGGAAATATTCTACGAGTTCGAAGAGTTCTGGAAGCTCCTATAGGTCTTATATTTCCAAGAGTGTTTGGGAGACCCAAGGTTTCCAAGAGTTTCAAGGGTTCCAAAAGTTGCAAGAGTTTCCAGGGTTATAAGCGTTCTTAGAGTTCCCAGAATTCTAAGAGTTCCCAGAGTTCCAAGAGGTCCTACGGTTTCAAGAGTTCCAAAAGTTCCCAGACTTCCAAGAGTTCCTAGGATTCTAAGAGTTCCCCGGTTTCCAAGAGGTCCTACGGTTCCAAGAGTTCCCAGACTTCCAAGAGTTTCTACGGCTCCAAGAGTTCCTGGAGTTCTAACAGTTTCTATGGTTCTAAGAGTTCCATGAGTTCCAAGAATTCCCAGAGTTCCAAGAGTTCCTAGGGTTCCAAGAGTTCCTAGGATTCTAAGAGTTTCCAAAGTTCTAAGAGTTCCTAGGATTCCAAGAGTTTCCAGAGTTCTGAGAGTTCCTAGGATTCCAAGAGTTCCCAGAGTTCTAAGAGTTCCTAGGTTTCCAAGAGTTCGAGGAGTTCGAAGAGTTCCTAGGGTTCCAAGAGTTCCTACAGTTCTAAGAGTTCTCCAAGGGTTCCTAGAGTTCCCCAAGAGTTCTGAATTCATGGAATCTGGCCACGTCTCTTAAAAAACGTGATGTCTATCAGATCCTGTTTCAGAAACGGGGATCGATTACTAAAACGTTTATTTATATAGAAGTCATCAATTTCTTCCAAGAAAAAAACTACTGAGACCAAAACAGTATTTTTGCATAATCGCAGAATATCTACATGAAATTTGAGAAACTTATGTCATTATTGTTTCGAGCTTTTCTAGTTTTCATGTGTTTCTTTTTTCTCAAAAGGTACTCATTTTTCTAAATGCTGATCAACTGTGATCAGGATATGTTCGAAAGAAAAACCTGTGAAACCGAAACCGGGAGCCAGTTGCAGCCAAACTATCGTAATTTCATTCGCTTCTAGTTTAGAAAGATAGAAACTCTCGTTTCAATGTGAGAAGAGTGAAATGCGTGTTCCATTTCATGTTTACTCATTGTAGGCGGCTACGCTTACATATTACCTGAAACGACAAAGAAGAATTGGCAAGAGACTATGTTACTTAATAGATTGCAGATAAATGAAACACATATTACATATTGGACACTCAGCGGAATCGGAGAGTTTCCTAAGCTTTTATAATATAAATGATAAATGAAAAAGTAAGTTGCGAATTAATAATAACGATTTTTGATCGGGGCCTAGGGTGAACTGAGGACACTATGATATGCCATTGTGATGTATGGGTACTGATATGGATATGACATGTTGGCTTAAAGAAGATAAAAGCAATCACATACACAGAGATCTATATCTCATCCGTACTCATACCCCTTGTTATGCAGCTCAAATAATAGCTTTTGAAAGCATACAAATAGTCGATAATGCACACTTTACAAGTATTATCGAAAAAACCTGTTGCCGAGATTTTAGAATATATATTATTGAAATTGAAACGTACATGAAGAATCATTAGATGTGTAAAGGGCTCATTATTAAGTTTTTTTTAACCATGAAAAAACAAAACTTTCTAGAGATATTCAACACAGTTAGTCTCTTCACTCAGTAAGAAAGCTGACTTTGAGACTCGTAAGGCCAGTTTTAGAAGACAATGGCGTAATGATTACATCGTGCAGTCGGTTCAACATAGACACAGACACAACGCTTAGGCAAAATAGACAAACGCTCATCGACATAACCTGTCTAATAAGTGCACATATCAATTCATCATGAACAAACAAAAGAAACATTAGTGAGAATACATACTATTAATCCTTAGTTTTCGTTCGAATTTCCCGGAATTTTTCAACCCATTCTGTTTACATGTATACAACTTTTATATGACTTCGATTCTAATGTGAAAATCTCTTTGATGTGAACTGAATTCGGAATGCGTCTTCATTCAAAAGTTTTGATACGTGTGAGACTGTATGCAATTATCAAAACGTGTTCAACCATTAAATCGATCAAATGATTATTGTATGTCTCAGTTACTGAGCGCTATCCGCTCTAGTAAGTAAAATATCTGTGATATTCTTTAAAAAGTTTTGTTTATTCTTAAAAGGATTAACTTTTTATCAGTAATTGAACTTAATAAACAATATGAGCAAATGAAAGGTCATTTTGAATATTCTAAGCTTAGTACAACAAAATTCCATTTTCACACTTTCAATTCAGTCTCTGTTTTCGTCGGACACTCTCAAAATGCTTAATCGATTCCTATTCAGATTTTATCGAGGCAAAAATAAAATACGAATTTTCTTTACATCTTGTCAAAAATTGTTCAATGAACCTATTCTATCTAATACGCACTTGAATTGGCTTCTATTCGCGTATTGAATCGTCTTTTTCGCCACCAACCAACAATAACAGGAATGCATAAACCCAAAGCAGCAGTTAGTCCACCGTAGATACCCAATAACTTGGTTATTACATATAAAAAACTATTGCGCTTTTCAATGGTATACGTGCACAACATGGGCGCGCACGATATGAAATAGTTTGTGAACAAAGTTTGTGTAGACCAGTTCTCAATAAACAAGTGATTGATGATTTCTTCAATTGTTGTATTCGCCGCAAAATGAGTTCGATTTATATTAAGAACATTGATATTGACAGTGTTACAATTTGAGAAAAATTGCAGAATAGTATCAAGACACGATTGGTTGAAGAAACATTCAAGCGTCGATTGAAGTAATGACTCGGTTGGGTAGCATGAAAACGTTATGCCGTTTACAAATATCGGATTCAGTGGTTCACTCGGGATGGTCGCGCTAATATGAATGTTCGTCTCATTGAAAAACCCAGCTGGTACCGAACATGTAGGCATTATTAAACATTCACATTCCGTAAAATCCTTTGAAAAAAGTGAAATTTTCACTTCGATCAATGTAATCGAACCATCATCTGTGGTCGTTCTAAGTAACAGTTCAGATGTTTGAAATGCTGAATAGAGTCTATTGGTATATGTCGTGCTGCGTACGAGTTCAAGCAATCGAACAAGGCTATTTGCTGTGGACGTTTGAAGAAATTGGCTCTTAGCTTGAACTTTAGCATCCAATGATTGAAAAGATAGAACATCAGGTGTGAGAAGAGTTTCTGATCGAAGATCGTCCACTGCATCATGTATTGATCGTTGAGTATGTGAACAGAATGTGGCAAGCAATTGAAAAAATATACTGGCAAATGCACGAAAATCAGCTTGATAGAGAATGTTCATGTTTGGA